TATTTCATTGTTCTGTATTGGTGCATATGCGATTGCAGTTGCATTTCTTGCTGGCACGAGCCAGCAAGAAGTGCAAGCTAGTTCAGACAACTCGTCCGAAACGCCCGTACCTCATTTCACGGGAGAAGAGTATGAGTCCCTGTACAAAGGCTTCACCGGCGTTTTCTTCGTTTCATTTTTCACTTGCAATCAGCTCGGCTTCCACAGTTTCATCATCGACCGCTTTTATACCACCGAATCGACATAAGGTTGTTGCATTGCTGTTGCTTCTACAATAGCCATCAATCAAGGGAAGGCCGCTATGAAACAAGGGGCGTGAACGAAGACGCCGAGAAGACCAATATCGAACCTTCAAAGGCAGCGATCAGGATGAATTGTGGGAGGGTTCAGAGACGAGTGGTGCTCAGTGGTACGCCAGTGGCGAAAAAGCAGAGAAATCCGTCAAGAAAACGCAAAACGGGACCCTCTTTTTGGCCGTTGGTTTTCCACTCATGAACAGGTAACAGCTCAGAAAGCGGACGTATGAACGAGTTCACCGCAACGCGTTTGGTGGCACCATGCCAAACCACGCTCAATCGAGTTGCTCCAGTTGGCAACGCAGCTCGTCCAAATCACCAACTAAACTAGTGGGCGGATCGCTTTTGGGGGCGGAGCTTTCGAAGTCCTGCTCAGCAACCAGCGCACCTTTCGTCGTGAAAGCGCCACTTGGCAGCCAAGTAACTGCTTCGTGTGGTGCACATGCTTTCCCGATGCGCTTCCTCTTTATGGTAATCGCTGCTTTATTAACATGAACAGTATGTGTAAGCTTCGGCTTATACAGCAATTGCGAGAACTACAACGAAAATGATCAACACAATCAGGGTCGATTTATCAGCCCGGTGGATCGGAGGCTCTCATTTTTAAGGGAAGGAACTAAGTTGGGTCGAAAAATGGTCAGAAGCGCAGGGTCGCGACTAAATCAGTGTGTTATTTTGCTCCAAAATTAAGCAAAAGCTTAGAAGAGGAAAAGCATAAAGGAGAAAAAGCAAAAGGAACCTTGGAATACACTGCAATCGAAAGCTCCCCTCTTGTTAGGTCGACAATGGTGCGACGCGGAGACCCACATCAAGAGTGGGCGCATATACCGAGTGGCCTGTGCTGTGAGAGAACTATACAAGAGAGCACTACAAGAGAGTGACTGTGTTGGTCACTTTTGTTGTAGTTCTCGTTCTACTTCATCAAGAGTGGGCGCACGCACCGATTGGCCTGTGCCTTATTGATCTCCTGCATCTAGAGATGAACTCGTCACGCTTGACACAGAAAATAATAAGAATCTTATGACGATGCGGATGTGATGCTACAGAGAACACAATGAGAAGCATACCATATTGGCAATCGTGAGCTATCTTTTGGTGAAGTTATAATGAATTTCAAGCATGTTCTTTCTTCCAATAGATCCGTCGAACAACAGTGTAATATTAATGATGGGAAGAACCACTTAGACAACTAAACGAACATTCGAGAAAGAGCAGCAACAGTCGCAAAAACCCGAATGAGAAGTTTTCCTGCTGACCTGCATCTACCCCGATGAGCGGGCAGAAAGCCTCTGTTGTGACGAAGTGCATGGCAGGAGATACCAAGTGCAATTTTCGAGATCTTGAGGAAATCCGAGAACCTTTTTATAATACACTCTCACGTTTGCATGTGTTCGCTTCCTACTCCAGCCGTTTATCTTCACACGGGGATGCAAAGTTTCTCTTGTTCCCCCACTTACTCGGATTCTTATCACTTATAAACATTTTTACCACCTTCATGAAATGAGGGCGCTACATTGTAACTGGATTTTGGTGAGGATGCAGGTGTCCTATCGACAGCTCCTCTTTTTCTTTGCGCTCTTCGACCTCTCTTTATCGAACTGTAGAGCAGCACTTTCCTGCTAGCATTTTTGGTACTTGTTCCTTATGCTTTCATTTCAGTGGTATGCAAGGTTTTCTGTCCGGCACAAGAATGTTGCAAAAGAGGATCGAGCAGCAACAAAAAGAATCCATGCAAAGACAAGAAGTATTTTGAATCCAAGAAATCGACTTCTTACGTAAAACTTGAAAACAGGACGGAGTTCTCAATTGCGGTGCGTTTTTTTTTCGGGATACATGTCTATTTTCAAGTAGGACGGAAAAGTAAGATCCGTAATAGCCTTTAGGTTATATGAGGATTTGCATTTCCAACGTGACGCCTAAAATTCTTCTGAAAGCACGTCCCACGATCAAACTGGGGTGGCAATTGTACATGGAAATGAAGTGCGCCAGCTGTAAAGAAAAAAGGGAAAGAAGACTCTGAAGCTTAGGGCTTACTCAGCTTTCATGATGACGCAATGAGCGAAACAGCCTGGAAGAGAGGGGATAGATGATAGAGCTCATCGGATTAGAGAGCGCGGAAAGCAAAATGCTGCAGCCAAGAAAAAATGGAAGCGTTCGAAGCGGGCTAAATGAGATGCAAGCGCCATAGCCTCGTACTTCAGAGCCGAGAAACGCAACATCTGCGCGTGAACAGCTCTGTTCTACCCACAATAGAGAATGATCCACCCCACCCGCTGAAGCCATCGCAAATGGGTGTGTCAGTTGCGATCAAATGAGAAGACAAACAAAGTTTCATGCACGAAGATTTAGTTTCCGAAGGGAAGCAAATTACGAAAGTGTACTTCAAGGACGATAGAAGGTAAGCCGGGAAGAGACGAGGATAAGTAGTGTGCAGCCACGTATCAGGCGACGTATTGAAAGAATTGGGTCGAAGCGTTCGATTTTGGAGAATAGAGACAAAACGATCGATAGAATAGGATGCAGTAGAAGTGTGAGATGTAGTGCAATAAGTCAAAAGGTCAAAAAGAGTTTCTAGTGACAGCACTCCGTGAACCAAGTGGAAGCGTCCCTCCACCAGCATTTGTGAGATGTCCTGAAAAAATTCAAACCATGATTTCAAACCAGTAGCAGCCCTTTCGGTTTTCCAAATTGTTTACCAAAACAAATGTAAGTTTAACAAATTTTCTTGTGCCTTACGAGGTTGTTCGGTGGAACATTTATTAATGGCCTAACGTTTCGACTGAATCGTCGTCTTCAGAGGCCTGAACGTGTTTCAAGCGTTAGACTTACGCTCTACACCACCAAGCGCCTCATCAACTCTAGCGGTTTCGACATCGTGTCAGAAACCCCTCGAGAAGATCAGGACAGCGCAAGAAATAAACTCACCGTCGGTTCCACCCTTCGAGCGGAAAAGTCCGCTGCCACACAGAGCGCTGATCAGTTAGAACTGAAGAATACCATACTGTCTCCTTATGTCAAAAATAGTCGGGAGACGCACGTAACGCTCTGTCATTCTACAGCTCGCAGTGCGGAATGAACGGCAGTAGATCATTTGTTATATACGAAGTTATACGAATACGTTAGTACATAGGGGAAACAGGAAGGGTTTTAGCAATTCGTATCAAGGAACATCTTGCTAATTTGAGACGCGGTACTGTGACAACACCTTTGGGAAGACATAAGGTTGAGGAGCATAACGGGAATGACTTTGAAATAAGGTGCACGCTGCTGGCTCAAGAGACGGAAATTTCCGCGCGGAAGGCATTAGAAGCATTCTGGATATTCACTAGAAATCCAAGAATGAACAGCCGCGATGAGTGTCCTTCAATAACAAATGATCTACTGCCGTTCATTCCGCACTGCGAGCTGTAGAATGACAGAGCGTTACTACGACTCCCGACTATTTTTGACATAAGGAGACAGTATGGTATTCTTCAGTTCTAACTGATCAGCGCTCTGTGTGGCAGCGGACTTTTCCGCTCGAAGGGTGGAACCGACGGTGAGTTTATTTCTTGCGCTGTCCTGATCTTCTCGAGGGGTTTCTGACACGATGTCGAAACCGCTAGAGTTGATGAGGCGCTTGGTGGTGTAGAGCGTAAGTCTAACGCTTGAAACACGTTCAGGCCTCTGAAGACGACGATTCAGTCGAAACGTTAGGCCATTAATAAAGGTTCCACCGAACAACCTCGTAAGGCACAAGAAAATTTGTTAAACTTACAACTGACATGCCGAGGTTACAAGAAGAGAGAAGTTGGAGAAATGCAATTTTGTTTTTTCGTTCTTACCGCGAACGATGGCTCTCAAGACAGTGATTCACGGGTTAGGAAGAATTTTTTCATGATTTTGGGAGGGTTTCTTTAATCACTGGTCTCTTTGGTGCCTCTCCAATGCACTGTAGCAGAATAAACTTTTGAGAGGAGTTCTATTTTAGTATGGTACCGGGGATGCGGCAGGATTCCTCGGAAATGACACTGTTCGTTTCGGGGCTGAAAATGAAAACCAGCTAATTCGTTCCTGGTACTGTGTTCGGTCAAGCCGAGAGAATTGCAGATTTCTTCGAGGGTGTGAGTGTTTTCTTTACGTGAAAAGGATTTCTGATCAGTTTCAACGGTAATCATTTTACAAATTTTTCGCTGTTGTAGTCTAAATGAGGACTGCATTCAGCTAAACTCTGAGTACATCTGTTGTTGGTATGTACAGAAAACTGCTCCTAAAGCTCGAAAATAATAACGTCATCTCACACATCAAAGACTTAACCAGTTCAGCATCCAATCGATGGTATCCTTGGATTAGCATTCCGGGGAATAGCCGTGCAGAATGTCAACCCTCCGTTTCTACGAGCTGTCGACCTGGGTTTAGTGGACCCGATCTTTACGGTTTACCTGAAGCGCTTGGGAGGTAAAATTATCAAGAAATTCATCTATGCTAAACTGTGGACTCGGTATATTTACAATCTTCAGATTTGGCGGACGGTTCCTATGGAGGCGTTTACACGTACGGTGGTCTTGACAAGCAAAATTGCGGTGAGGTGATAGCGTACGAGAAGCTGACGGCGCCCTTCTTTTGGCAGTTCCTAGTAAGTTGATGAGTTGATTTCCTGATTATTTCAGTTGGTGTCAAGCGACTCCTGTTTCAGTTGAGAGGATTCAGTGCGGGAGATGTGACTCTTAAAACGGGCTGGGAAGTGATTTCGGACACTGGCACATCGTTTAATGGTATTCTAGTGCCGGTCGCGAACAAGATAGCCGAAGCATTCGGTGCTACGGTGGGCATTTAGATATTTTATTGAAAAGGATTCAATCTCATGAGATCATACACTGACCATGAGAGGATAGCTGACCCCAAATATTTCCAGTACCAACCATTCTACGGTGTCTACCTGATCGACTGCAACGCGACGGTGTCACTGAGCCTGACTATCGGCGATCATGACTATGTGATTGAAGTCAGAAAATCTTATTACAAGAGTCGAAAACATTTGCATGCTGACGATGTTTCCCATGGATAGTGGCGGCTTCGGACCGCAGTGGATTCTCGGCGATCCGTTCATCCGTCAATACTGCAATATCCACGATGCTGGCAGTAAGCGTATCGGCTTTGCAAAGCCAAAGTGATCAGCTCTGTGCGCTATGGTGGAAGACTTATTGAACATGTTAGTCTTATAAATCATTGCTCATCGCTGCACTTCATCACAACCTAATTCTCTGCCACACTCCTGCCATGACATGTGGTCTTGTTGTTAAGTGTCAGGAAAGCTTTGTGATCTACTAGGATGTAACAAAATTCTTACTTTTTGCTTTTAAACTTTTTTAAGCCTCATTACTTCGAACACGACAAGTATCTAGAATATCATCAGTATTTGCCCACCACAATCAGCAATTTCCT